ACAACGCACCGTCTCACACCTCAGCGGTTGCCATGGCGAAAATCCACGAATTACGGTTTGAACTGCTTGACCATCCACCTTACTCACCAGATCTAGCCCCAAGCGACTTCTTTTTGTTCCCTCATCTAAAAATTGCGCTCGGAGGACAGAGATTTTCGTCAAATGAAGAGGCAATCACCTTCGTGAACAATTATTTTGCAGAGAAAAACGCCGAGTACTATTTCGACGGGTTACAGAGATGGGAGCATCGCTGGGAGAAGTGTGTAGATTTACAAGGAGATTATGTTGAAAAATAAAAAACAATTTTCAGAAAAAATGACTTGTATCTTTGTTAGGTCGGAAACTTTTCAGACCACCCTCGTAATATGTTCCATCTATAAAAGCGATTTCCAATCTATTATATCTTGCTAGCTTTTGGTTCAGCACAAAAATTAAAAATAATACTATCAAATCTCTTCGGAACTCTACACTCAATTTTTATTTTTAAAACATTCCTTCATATATTTTAAGCAAGAGTTGCGAAATTTCCTTTTATAGAACATACTAGATCTGTTCATACTAGATATAAAATGTTTTGTGTTTTATTGTAAAAGAATAATAGAAATTAATTAGTCAAAATTAAAGCAACTCACTCGTTAAAATAACATTTATTTCTAAGTATTAGCAATTTATGTGTAACGTCAAATATATAAAACCTACTTGTTACTTATTACTTTAATAATCGAATGGCAAGTAGATATCAATCTAAAAAAAACTCTACAAAAACACTATTAAAAATCCGACGATCATAGTTATGAGAATCCTGCAACCATCAAGGTAAACGCAAATAAAGTTGAAACGACATCTGCATAATGTGTTTAGCACACACGCATTAATGATTTGTGATTTAAAATTCATTCACTATTGTCGTATCGAGAAAAGCATTTGTCGAAAGTCCTCATGTAAGTCCAACTTTACAAAGATCAAAGTGTGATCTCACATAAATATTAATATTGACTACTTCCTGTTAGCTGAGTAAATCACTCTATATAATCACGGCTATTCTTAATAAAAATTCCAAGGCATTATAAGCTTCAATAATTTTATAAATAGGAAAAATAATATGTATGTTCAAAAAATTACATAAGCTTTAAAGGTTCAGACGAATTACAAAATTTTATTCTACACTTGCTACGACTAAGTGCCACATTTAACATGCCACATATTTTCATAATTCGCCCAGGGGACACTAGCTTTTCTCTCTCCCTCGACAGTAAACTATTTAAAATAAGCGAAGCAAATATTTAAAATGCATAAAAAAATAACTAGCCCGTTGACTGTAAAATTAATATTTAATTTAAGACGAAGTTACGAAGTAACCTATATTTTGGAAGTTGAAAACTTGCCATAACTTTCCGTCACAGAAAAATTAACTTAAGATTACTCAAAGATAAATTTAAAATAAATAATTTAATTATAGGACTCATAAATCGGTTTGTCAAGTCTGAAACATCTTATACAGACCGGCAATACGAGAAGTCAAACCTTGATCTTTAAACCTTGATCTTTAAATGACCTGATTTGTTTTAATTCCGCAACGTAATGCAAGAAACTCGAGCGTGTTTAATACAAGTAGTATATGTCATCATTCTACGTTCAATCCTTGATTCCTAGATTTATATTTTTCTTATAAATTTTAAATTAATGGAAGAAAACAGCACTGATTAACTCGCACATAAACCGACCGTCACCATAACAGCGCATAAAATTAAATATAATTATTTACACAATGACAAACAGTTGTAGTTTATTGTATAATATACTTGAACAAATCACTTTAGAAAATTATTTATTTCTTTATTTATTGATATATAAGAGTTTGTTTAGTTCAACGTTATATTTTACGTAAATTACAGTCTAAAGTATATACTGTTGAAATTGTCATCTAAAGAAAGAATAAAGAGAAATGTAAAGTGTAAAATGATACTTGAATAATCAACTGATATACTGGATTGGATAATTGAATAGGACGATTCGATAACTGATCCAGTCATGACATCATAGTGCAGTTTATATAATTCTGCTTGATAATGTGTCGTCAGTATTCCGCAAGTCGTGCAATCGTCATGTTGGTCGTTTTACAAGATTAACGCACATCAGTTTTGCAGATAGCCACTTTCGAGGTACTTCTATTGCTATGTACACATATTTCACTTTCTTTCTCTCCTCATCAAACACTCTTGGACACAAATAATTTGAAAGTGAACGGATCTTAAAACAAAAACAAATTATTTTCACAAGAATAAATTATTCTTAAAATCAAACGCCACCAATAGCATCGCGACGTCAACGTTATTTTATTCCGAGAAATCAAATAACACATTGCACACCGGATATGAGTGATTCTTCTCCACAATATTGAGCAATTAGCGGGATAATCCATTCGCACAAAAAAAAACTCATTGAAATATTAGTCATCTCAATGTCTTCCACAGAATAACACATAGCTGGACTCTGTTTAAACTAATATGTTTCCACATCACGGTTCCAGCAGGCGAACCAGGCGGTTTTACGAGCGAACGATACGGATCTCGTCGAGCCTTACCCCTACCATCAACAGGTGAGTAAGAGATGCCTACCGGTCAGCTTGAGAAATCACTGCCTACCTGCCTACCGACCTCGGACCTCCGTCAGTAAACGCGAAGATGTCGTTTGACGTGGTAGCTAACTATCTGTTTATCATTTGCGTAGCTTTTGCTAACGGGATGCCGCAAAACAATGACGCGACATCTCGGGAGAATTCTGGCTCGGTAAGTAAAACATTCGGTGCATGTTACTTTGTTGTTATTATTGCAATATAACACAAATTTTCTCAAGTTTCCTTAATCTCTAACAAAAACGTTGACACACGAGTGCAATTATTTATAAAATAAAAAGTTAAGACAAAAAAGAGAGAGAAGGTTTTTATATAATTTTAATTCATTTATATGATTTTTATTATAATTTTATTATAATAATAATTTATAATAATAATTATAATTATAATTTTATTATAATAATGTGTATCAATATAATTTTAACATATCAAATGAGGTAATGAAAAATCCCGGAATTGCTTTCTCAGGCAAATTGAAACATTTGTATTTTTAAGACGTTATAATTTTATGATACAATATATGTACAGTTTTGATCTGCAATCTTCCATCGTCCTCTGCACTGTGTTTCATAAAATTATAGCAACATGAAAATACAATTGTGTTTCCTTTTACCTGAAAAATTCCAGATTACTTATTATACAACCCAATAAATGCTATTACTGTTTGCATAGAAGCGATCTCGGTTAGGCTGTTTTTCATGGATAAATAAATTTACGTTATCTACGGTGCGTTAATATCGCCGAGATATTGTAACGTTGTACAGGATGAACCGAGGATCGTATTATTACATGTTTTGTATATGTACATGTAGATGATAAAACGAGAAATGGCTTCTCGCTGAACGTCTCGCACACACATTCGTTGTTCGTATGTCTAGTAGTTAATTACGGATACATTGATAACAGATAACGGTCAGGTGTATGATGAAATTCCTAGCAACAAAGACTGCTAAAACCGCAAAGACCATGTTAATATATTTACTCAATATAAGAACTTTATTATCCAGATTCACTTATTAATATAGTTAACAAACAATGTTTGTTATTACCGAAATCACCTATTATTCCTTTAATGGTAAAATCTTGTCGACCAGTGTTATTATTAAATAAATATGAGTATTTTTATGAGTCTTTTATAATATTGTATAACGAAACAATAATAACAATATTACTTGTATAGAATATTGATTAACGCAAGTAGTCTACATTAAGTCCTGATTTAATAAACGTGTTTGGCCACAGATTAATATTATAATTACAAGCTAGATCGTATTCCGCGTAACTAAGGTGACTCGAGCGTCATTATGAGTGACTATTAAATATAGAAATAAAAACACGCGAGAGAATTCTGTGCGCGCTCCAGAAAGGCAAGGATTGATTCTGATTGGCCAACTGCTTCGAGAGGAGAAACACGCGAGGAAAAGTTACGGCTTATGTTGGTTAGATAATCGCATACTGTGACTTCTGTGGCGAGAGAAAGGTTCGCGGAAACGTTAATACGTAGCGCAAAATATAATTTATCATCGACGTCGTGCAGTTACAACATAATATACGTTATTCTAAACATCTGCCCTTTACTTATAAGCTTGGAATGCAACAAATTAAGAGACAACAGTAGCAAGTGTACGGGGAGCATTTTATAGTAATGATTATTATAGGTCTTTATGACCAAGGAACATATCATCATTCTGTTTTAATATATTATCCTTTTGTTTCATGAAGTTATATACTACTAAAAATGTATTATAATAATGCATTAAATATATTATAATAATGCATTAAATGTATTATAATAATGCATTAAATGTATATACTTTGTTCTTCTAAAATATTTTACTTTATTATCAAAAAATTTACTATGTTTCCTTCCTCCTTTTAACTAGGTAAATTATATCTACTATTATTATATAGATTATTGACAGTTCATTCCTATATAACTAAAGAACATTAAAAAAACATTAAAGAGCATTAAAAGAACATTAAAAGAATATTAAAGAACATTAAAATTTAAATGAATTTTTCTCTTTATGAGAAGAGGAAAAAAATATATATTATTTTCTCCGTATATAATATTTTTTTAGTATATGTCACCGTTATTAGTAATTTTACTACACAATCAAGTAACTGAAGTTTCTACTTTATTCCCGGGAAAAAAATTCGTATATGATTATATAAAAATATATATATTTATATTAATTATATATGAATTTTGTCCATGTATGTAACCTTATCTAATTATATGTTTTTACACATAAACAAATATTATTGAATCAAAAAAGGAAAACATAATTTGACTCAATTAAACTTCAATGTCATGGGCTACCACAAACATAAGCATTTACTTCAATTGTATTTTCACAATAGCATATTTTTTAATATGGACATATATAATTATATATAATCATACATGGCTATATTATAGATGAAATCTATATACAAAATTTTCCCGGATTATTATAATAAATCTACTATATTATTATATTACGTAGCAAAATTATATCTAGTATTATTACATATTATTTTCTATTATTATTGTATATAAGTCTACTAAATTATTATGTTATGTAGTAAAGTAAACGTAGTAAGATACTGACGATCTACTTCTGCGCTACTAGGAAACATGGTAAAATTGAAAATAATATATGTGATAAATGTAGATAACATAATGATAGAGGAAGTAAAATGTCCAAATGTAATTACAGCTGTTATCACAAATGTTCAATGACACTGCCATGCGTCATGCAAAAATTGCGCTATTTAGCTACGATTATCGCGTATATCATACAGTTATTACATATTGTCAACATATCTTAACCTCCTTGAAATGATCTTGATAGTACGAAAAATAAGTGTAATTGCGATTAATGCACATTACGTAAATTTCAATGTCAATTCCGTCATAATTTAGTAATCTAACATCAGTAGTGTTGCATCTTATACTTTGTTATTTTGGGCCTATTTGCACAATATCCAACGTAAAAATGCCCAAGAGAAATTGTTGTATCATGCAACGTTACGGTGACTAGTTTCGAAATTAGCCAGAGCACTGGAACGTTAGTGATTGACGAAACTCACGCGTACAGAGTTTGAAAGAAAAGTCCACACTTATGTCTTGCAGCGGAGAATAGACCGGAAAACGATTGAAATTGCATTATCAACCACAATTTAGAGACGGAACCCGTAGCTAAAATAAAGAAAAAAGGAAAAAGGAGAATGACATTGACAGGCTCCGTGCAATTGCGCGAAAAGTTGTCATTTACGCAATATAACGTGCAATCACTGTCCCACTAATTCTGCCGAGTATTTTCAATCGTGACGGACGGGCTTAATTCCCATTGAGTGTCCTTCCACAGCTGCCATTTTTGCAATTCACTAACAAAGGCATCCGAGTGAATTTCGCTGGATACCACGCCGAAGCTGGTCTTGGAGGCCTCCTAAGGGGCGCCGGAACAGGTGGAGGACTTCATGCAAGTGTGGGTACTCCATGGGGTGGACACGCAGGTGCTGGATTAGGCGGTGAAGTAAGCGGAGAGGACGGCACTGTTGGTTCGTATTAGTAAATACGAAGAGAAAGTAATAACTTATATATATAGAGGGTCCCAAAACAATCTTATTAAAATTATTAATTAAAGAAGATTGTCGGATAATCACTCACAATAATATATTAATGTTATTTAATTAATAACTAAAAATCTACACAATTATTAGGAAAAAAGTAAGAGAACTTTTGTTTAATTTAACCTAATGTATAAGCACGGCAGATGCCGTTGCCATCATTATTTTTGTTGTATTTTTTTAATTCAAAATTAAAATTTTTTTAATTCAATTCAAAGTTAATTTATAACATCGCAATTCAATATTACTGTCTTCTTACGATTGTGTTTTTCGTTTTTAACCAAGGAGTGTCTTTCTATGGATAAATAAATAATAATCATGATCGTCGTAAAAAGTCGAGTCTTTGCGAACGTTGACGCAAATCAGAATCAGCGAGAAGAAAATGATTTCAGGCGGCGGACTGTACGCTCGCGCTGGTCTCGGCCACGGAAGACCGGAGGCTGCGGCCGGCATCGGTGGGAAACTGGACGGCAGCGGACGATCGTTGAACCCGATCTCAGGTGGCATGTACGCAGGTGCAACACCGGGAGGCGGACCCGGAACCGGCGTGTACCTCGGCGGAGGATACGGCAAGGATGGTGTCGAGTATACGATATCAAGCGACGTGCCGGTCGATGCGTCCGACGCGATTCCACAACCAGCTGGCACGACAACGACGAAAAAATCTGACGAAAAATCCGCCGGCACAGACGAAGGCGCGGATGAAACGAAGCCGACGAGGGGCCGCACGAACATACAGATCATACCGAGGAAGGAGAAAGAGGTTCCGTTCAGTGCAATGTAACTTTAGGTCGCAGAGCCGCCTTGACGAGAGATAAAATATTATAATTTTCTAGGTCTCAAATACGGTATCTAAACGAGAAATCGAGAAACGCGAGGATGTTCATTGACAGTCCGCTAACTCACGTTCTGTAGTCTAGTCGTAGTGTCAAGAAAATGATGGTAGTCATAGTCTCGTTAAGCTCTCGTCGATCAGTTACACATATATGTAGTTATATAATAAAACACGTGTTTCAAATTCAAATCGTCGGATTCTCATGGAATATAGCTCTCTTAGTCGATATAACATCTCCATACAAATGCATTCGTGAGGCTATCGTCTTTAAAATGAATATGTCATGAATGTAGAAAGTGACGCTCGTAGCTGCCGCGTCACCAGCTGATGCGCTCGCAGACGGAAAGGCCGAATCGAAAAACAGTGAGGTGAGAATTATTGATTGATTGACGTGATCGATTGCTGAACGTTGATTTAACTCACGACAGCAATTTTATGCTTCAATAGGTACGACGTACTGTACAGTACACGGTCGTACCTCCTGCGGCACAACTCGATGTGATCGGATCGATCTCGGCGGGTGCAGTTGCACCAGCTGTGAAAACCGTCGAGAAAACCATCGTAGTTCCCGCACCCCCGCCCTTTGTTACCGTACAAGGTGTGGCTCAAGCCAACGCTAATACGAATGTGACTGCAACAGTTGGTGAGTGGTTGTATTCTTCTCTAAAATTCTTTGAGTAAAATTCTACTTTAACCCAAGCAAAAATGTATCTAGTAGAACAAATTTCAAGACTAATAGCTAGATAGTAATAACTAGATAAGTTTTCTAGCCAGTCAATAGCTCGTGACTGGTTAGATATTCTTGCTCAGTCTTTTGAATGTCAGGACTATCTAATAACTGTAGCAATTACATAGATAGTAGCTAGATGAAAAAGATTACAAAGTAATGAGATAGAAAGTTATCAGTAAGTCCTAAATAGAAATTGGACATCAGAACTATTTAGTAACTGTACCACTGATAGTTACAAGTTATTTTCTTGTATCTAGCTACTAGATAATTTTTCTGGTACAGCCACTAGGAGAAGTGAGCGTTACATTCCTAGCTAGTAGCAATATAACCTAACTTTTCTGTATCATTACCAGACAATTACTAGATTCAATTTTTGCTCGGGAAATATCAGGGTGAGACTAGTCAATCCTTTCCCTTCTTTAGAACTCAAGTAAATTTTCTTTCATATACATAACAAGAATTTCTACATTCTAAATCACTGAATAAGTATTTTCATTTGAAACTAAATAGTAAATTTAATATATTCTACTATATTCTACTATATATACATATATACATATATATATATATATATATATATATATATATATATATATATATATATATATATACACATATACATATACAGTGATGGTCATAAAAATAGAGCCATCTATAGAAAATTTATTAAACTATTTATTTCATCCGCCTATCTTTACCTACTATATAATGTTATTTATTAGACGGTAACAATAATTCGTATCAACTAAAAAACATAATGAACAATTGCTGAAATAAAGTACATATAGTGTTGGGATAATTTTGAAGTGCTCTATGCTATAAGTAGTCTGGTCATAATAATAAAGCCAAATTATTAATGTAAGTTTATTAACATAAAAATAGTTTGCAAAATATTAATATGATTTTATAGGTTTGGTATAATAAAATTTTAAGGAAATTTAATCAATTATCTAAAATTGCAGTGAAAATGGGGCGAATATTCACTGTAGAACTGATGAGAGAGTAACTTTTAACTTTACGCCACAAAGAAGAGTCGCAACGAGTAATTGCAAAAATTTTTGGTCGCTCTAGAAAAATGGTGGAAAATGCATTAAAATGCAAAAATAATAAAAAAACTCGAGGTCCCAAGCGAAAAACGACATCTCGTATTGATCGTCAAATTATACGTGTTTCTAAAATAAATCCATTTAAGTCATCAAAAGAAATTAAAAGTGAGTTGCACCTTTCAGTAAGTGCACGTATAGTTCGGCGAAGACTCCAAGAATACAATTTAAATGGTAGAGCTGCTAAGAAAGTTTCATATTTAAGTTTGAAAAATGTAAAGTGCAGATTACAATTTGCAAAAGACCATTTAACATGGAGTAGTCCAGAAGGAATAAAAAAAATGGAGAAATGTGTTATAGTCAGACAAAACTAAAATAAATCTAATGGGATTTGATGGAAGACGTTATGTAAAAAAGCCATCAAATCAGGGTCTGCTATCTAAATATACTATAAAGCCATGTCAAACATGGCGGTGGTAACATAAAGTTATGGGGAGCATTTTCATGGTACGGAGTTGGTCCAATTTATTGGATTAAAAATACCATGGATCAAAACAAATATGTACATATTCTTGAAAATATCATGCTTCCCTTTGCGAAGGAGAACATGCCATTCATATGGAAACTTCAAAATGACAACGATCCCAAACATACTAAAAAAGCAAAGAAATTTTTTGAGGATCATAAAGTGATATCGTCTTAATCGCCTTCTTAATCGCCGGATCTCAATCTAATTGAGAATTTGTGAAAAGATTTAAAGATTGCTGTTTCTAAACATACAATCCGAAATAAAAAAGAACTGTGGGAAATAATACAAAAAGAATGGATATCTACTGAGCGGTATCGCAAGTTTATAGAGTCTATTCCAAGACTCTGTGAGGCAGTAATTAAAAATCGTGGTCAACGTGGTCAATCGTGGTACACGTCAAAATATTAATTATACAAAATTGATTTAATCACGAAATTTTTGTTAACTTTCAGTTTAAATGTTCCAATGCCATTTTTTATACTATGGCCCTATTATTATGACCAAAGAATTTATTTCATTCGTATTAGTTCATTATTTCTATTAGTTTAATATAAATTGTAATCAAATAAATTTGTTATTTTAGTTTTTCATGTTTGAAAAACAATAATATGATGAAATAAATTTAATACAAATTTAAACTTTAGTATATTTATTGGTGATTGTTGTTTCAGTTTCCTATTGGCTCTATTTTCATGACTACCACTGTATATACAAACAAATTTACTTTAACAAAGAATTCTGAAAATTAGAACTCTATTAGTTAAGAATTACTCTAAGTTTGAGTAAAACATTAACTTTTGCTGATTTCAAGCGGCAGTATTTTCGCTTTAAGTAAATTTTCGTTTATTTTGAGTGAGATTTCACTCCAAAATATTTGAAGAATACTTTTTAAATATTTAAAGTGAACTTTTACGTGAAAAATAAAATAACAGCTAAATCATTAAAACTTAAAGAATTTTCATTTCACGTATAGAATAAATTCTGCGCCTTAAATATTTTCCTTCGAAACTGAAATATATGAATTTGACGTATTTCACTGTCACAAAATGCAGTCTAATCGATTAAAAAACTTATTCGTATGGATCAATAATTTACTTCAAATTTTTTCAAAACATTTACTCTTATGATTCCGAAAATAGTAATATTTTCACTACCGCTTCGAATGATCTTTCACTCGTTTCGAATGAAAGAGAAATTTCATTTCAAGAAATTTAAAGAATATATATAGTGTAGTAATTGCGCATATTGCTTAAATGGCGTCAAATGAATAGCGTGTTTCTTTCAGACAACAATACAGGCACAGTTTCAAGAATCACGTATCCTCGTTGGTACTTTAGAAAGAGATTCCGGAACGTACCAAGGAAAACAGTCTACCTTACTTCAACAGCAACGGACTCTGAAACGGCGTCTTCCAACGTAAACAGTGGCGTAGTCGCTGCGAGCAAAACTTACACAAGCGGATCGCTGTTCAATGACATTTTTAACGTGAGCAGAAACGCAGAAAGATCTGCTTTGCATACAAATTCGATTACTCAGTTCTGCCTCTTTTACGCCTAACAAATATCGCTAATTCGTATAAAGAAACAATTACGATAATTGTTAATGAGTCCAATCTCTTTCAGCAGATCCCAATCTCTACCCTGACAGCTGTAAATCAACTGTTGAACAACGTCGGCTAAAACACGAAAACACCACTAAACGATGAAATCTCAGGATATAATATCCTCGGTGGCAAATCAATCTATATATCTTTTTACTTTTTCTTTTTTTTAAGAATTCTCAAATATATTTAACGAATGTGTTCGTCCCTCATTCGGCCACTTTCGGCAAATATTTATTCGCAGTTTCGCCTGCTCACGAATGCCGGACACGCACAATGTCCGATCTTACGATTCCTCATACGTGATTAGATTGCCAGTTCTTTCACGCGCAACAGTATTTCTTTGTCTCAGGCATGTTCAAGGAGAATATGTTAATAAAGCTTTATATAAAATATCTTTCTGATATTATTTCTTTTATAATACATATATATATATATATATATATATATATATATATATATATATAAATATATGTTTCTACTTTTCTACGTATATCATTTGCACATCATTTATTTATAATTAGTAGTCCGTCTGGCATCTTAAATCGCTTGAAATAAACGAAACAAAAAACAAAACAAAACACTTAAAATAAAGTTTCATACATATACATCTAACAAATTTCGAATATTATTTAAAACGAGACACACTCTTTATATAATCTCGAAGGTCTTAGAGATTTTAATAACCTTAAGTGTGTTGAACTTAACAATAACACCTTAAGTGTGTTGACTTCTGAGATCTTTGAACATTTCCAAGATCAAAATGCGAATGTTCATTACTATTCATTCTGTATAACATGTACATGACATGAATATTACTACATACATTTCAAAGAGATTTTATTGCACTGCTAAGAATGGAAGAAACATTCGATACTCTTTCAAAGTTGATCATATATGGTCGTAAATATGTCTGTCATGAAATGTTTATTGTTATAAGTAGCCGGTACTTGTTATCCTCATATTGTGATCGTTAAGAAAGTAGGAGCAAAATACGAATATTAAGGCAAATAAACGGTAATAAATATAATCGAGAATAACCAATATACAGGGTGTTGCATTAACATGCAGATCAATACGACGTGTTGCCTATCCGTTTCATTAAAAGGCGTGGTTGCACTTACATACAAGTTAGTACAATGTTAGAGTTACTTATATGTTTCACTGCTGAGCGCGTCTAGTCGTGCGTGCTTTCTTTTCTATAAAATTTATATTCCAAGTGAGCATTCCGCTAAAATCTACTCAGACCGTGCACGACTAGACGTACCTGCCAGCAAAATACATAAATAACTCATCGATAAATTTATTTGCATACCGTGAAAACTTGGAACACTGTTCCTGAAAAACTTCATTGAAAAAATGTGTGTTTAAAAAGAAACCTATTGCCAATCACATTTTGTTAATAAAAAGTACGAAAACGTCGAAAACAGACAAAAGATACGACAATGTTTCTTCTTCCTTTAGTTTGCACGATTTATAAAATAAATTGTTGATTTATAAAATAAATTGTAATATTTACATATAATTAGTTGGATATAAATAACACATCAAAATCATTAGAACATACATCTTAACATTAACAGCGAATTCAGAATTTTTTCTCGATTAAAAACGTTTTAAAACGGTTAAAAACTCAAAATTTAAAAAAACTAAAGAATAAGAAAATCGATTATTTAGAGCAAAATAAGTTTTCAAAATAGTTTTATTATTTCTTCTGAAAATTTTCGATTTACTGCACGATTACACTGCTCGTTATATTTTTTATATATTAGATGCTTGCAAAAGTTTGTGTGTGTATGTGTATGTAATATTAAAGCCATTTTTATTTATTAATAACGATGAGATTATATATAATAATTTGATCAAAATATTAACCGTTGCTATTAATAATCTTTTGCAATTTTTCAAACAATAATTTGATCTCGCGCGAATAAAATGACTTATCTTTTGAAGCAATCCATTTATCGATCCATTTTCGCTCTTCCTCAGTATTTCGGAACCATGTATCAGACAAACCGTGTTGCATCGATCCGAATAAATAAAAATCAGATAGAACGATGTCTGGAGAATGCGCTATGTGCGACAGAACTTCCCGATCTAATTCGAACAACGTCTTTTTAGTTGCAATGCAGCTTGGCGTTATCGTGAAACAGAATGACATCGTTTCGCGGCTATTTGAGGGCGTTTTTCCTTCATTATGGCTTGGTTCAAACACCATATTTGTCAACTACAGCGATCTTCTGTAATCTATTTGCACCAGTGGTAATAGCTCATAGTAAAGCACTTTCTTGGTCGCACCAAATACGCAAAAAACTTTATGAGTGTGAATGTTGCATTTTGTTGTGAATGTGGATTGTTGCTGGCCGAGATCAATCCATGACTTTTTGCGTTTAGAATTGTCAAAATAGAACCATTTTTCATCATCCGTAATCATTTGCCACAAAAAGCTCTTTTTACCTAGCAAGCAAAGTGATAAGCCGGTTCGTAATCGAGTTTGCACAGTTCATGGAGAGGCTATTTTTCTTCCTTCTGGATTTTTCCCATTACTTTGAAATGGTAGAATACTGTTGATTTATCAAATCCAAGTTGTTCTGCAAACATGTTTTAATGTTTAGGCCAAATTTTCATCGAGCAATATTTCCGATTCGTTGTTCTCCATCCCGTTTGGACCAAAATATAGCTTGTTGTTGACATCGTAATCACCATTTGTAAACCTTTTAAACTGCTTCTCACAGACAACAGCGGATACAATACTCTCCATATGGATCTTACAAATCAATCTCTTAGGTATTGCAAAAATTTCACCTCGATTAGAGTGGTAAAGCATGCAGTGACGAAGATGAATTTTATCTAAATCCATCTTTTTAATTGTGTTAAATATAACGTTTTGTTTGTAGTTATAAATTGTCAATTCTGATCGAATGTGATCAACATTTAAAAACTAAAAAGCAACTTAAAAGAAAATAATTATGAAGTTGCTGCCATCTATTTGTGAACTTTTACAAGCACCTAATACTTAATCTATTTAATATTGATTTATAGATCCACAAAGCACCATAACAAAAATAATGTAAAAATATTATTCACATTTTAAAGGTAGCTCAATGTCATATAACCACGTGTTAAAGTCTTCAACTAAATTATCATGTAACCACAATGTCATATAAAGTCAATGTCACGTAACTACTTGTTAGTCTTAAACTGCATTGCATTGTTAGTCTTTAAGCATTTAGATAAGGCGTTATCGTAGTACTTAAGCCAACGCATATCGTGGCAATTATAGATATGCGTAAATAATGACCAGTGAAGGTTATGTTTGCGTTACCAGGAATTTTAAAATATAACTTTAGCTATATCGTCTCGCGACAGTTGCTATTACACTGTATTTATACAAAAAATTAGCATACATAATTATTACAAAGACAGTTTCTAATAAATAACAAAGATTTACTAAGCTTGGCACTTCTTTTATGTACACCACATACCATTTGTATACATACAGTTCAATATTACGCGGTAGATACGGAAATACGTGTGCGCAGTCGCACATTCCGAATAAATAATACCACACGCTTTCGCGTGAAAACAATGAATACGAATATAACGATCATGAATACAAACTCAAATATTTATGCTAGCCGAAATTTACTATTGACAATTAAACATTTTTGCATAGCTTTAGCTACGTCTTTGAGTATAAAAATGTAACAGTAAAAGCAAAGGTAGACTCAAACGTTTATAGAATTCGACTGCAAGGTTCCTAGAAAAGTTCCACGCATCGATTTCATCGGGAACGTAATATCGTTTAAAAGTTGCTAGAAAATTTACAAATTATCGTTAGATTATTAGGTCGCATCATAATAGCGGAAATATGCGTATGTATATTTTCCTGTTGCTGGTCTTCGTAGCTGAGACGTTAGCTCGAGCAAAATATAAAAAGGACACCGACGTATGTATACTTTAAATATTTTCATAAATCTATTATAACTATATTATAATATAGTATTATAAAGTAGTAGTATTATAAATCTATTATAATTATATTATTGTGGACAAAATATCTACATATACATACATTATAATATATATGTATATATATATATATATATATATATATATA